GCACACGCGTGCACACGCGTGTACGTGCGTGTACCCGCGTGCACGTACGTGTACTCGCGTGTACGTGCGTGTATCTGCGTGTACGTGCGTGTATCTGCGTGTACGTGCGTGTACCTACGTGTACCCGCATGTACGTGCGTGTACCCGCGTGCATGTGCGTGTACCCGCGTGTACGTGTGTGCACGTGCGTGTACGCGCGTGTACCCGCGTGTACGTGCGTGTATCTGCGTGTACGTGCGTGTATCTGCGCGTACTTGCGTGTGCCCGCGTGTACGTGCGTGTGCGTGCGTGTATCTACGTGTATGTGCGTGTACCTGCGTGCACGTGCGTGTATCTGCGTGTACGTGAGTGTATCCGCATGTACGTGAGTGTACCCGCGTGTATGTGCGTGCACGTGCGTGTACCCGCGTGTACCCGCGTGTATCTGCGTGTACGTGCGTGAATCTGCGTGTACCCGCGTGTACGTGCGTGTACGTGCGTGTACCCGCGTGTACGTGCGTGTACTGCGTGAAATGCAGTTGATTGTAAAAATAAAAATGAAAATAAAATAGAAGAAACGTTATTTTTACAATCAACTGCATTTCACGCAGTACATGCAGATACACGCACATACACGCAGGTACACGCACGTGCACGCGGGTACACGCACGTACACGCAGATACACGCACGTACACGCAGATACACGCACGTACACGCGGGTACACGCACGTACACGCGGGTGCACGCACGTACACGCGGGTACATGCACGTACACGCACGTACACGCAGATACACGCACGTACACGCGGGTACACGTACGTGCACGCGGGTACACGCACGTACACGCGTGTGCACGCGGGTACACACAGATACACGTGCATGTACACGGACGGATACACGACCGGTAATAGCAAGCATTGCGGGATAGCCTGGGTCGCAATGAATCATGGTAGTGGCAGCTCTCGGCCAACGCGTAAACTGATTTCACCTTGGCAGCTCTCGGCCAACGCGTAAACCGATATCACTTTGGCAAAATCAAAATCAAAATCAAAAGTAAAGTGAAATGAGTTTACGCGTTGGCCGAGAGCTGCCAAAGTGAAATCAGTTTTCGCGTTGGCCGAGAGCTGGTTTTGATTTTGATTTCGTTTTGATTTTGATTTTGATTTTGATTTTGATTTCGATTTTGATTTCGTTTTGATTTTTAATTTGATTTTGATTTTGATTTTGATATTGATTTTGATTTTGATTTTGATTTTGATTTCATTTTGATTTTGATTTTGATTTCGATTTTGATTTCGTTTTGAATTTGATTTTGATTTTAATTTTTTTTTTTGCTTTTATTTATTTCAGAGGTAAAATTGCAGTGGCAGCCCTCGGCCACCATACACCCCTAAGTTTTATTTTAAAAACACCTTATAATTATTTTGTTTCGCCACTTGCTTGGATAAACAGAACTTGGGTATAATACAATATAGTTACATTCGATGGTCATTGTAATCCGACTAAAAGCAGAACTATGTACAGTGTATTGCATTACATACATGTGTATGTT